ACTTTTTATTTACCAGAGTCACCGTGGTTTCTTCATGGATTTGAATAGCTACATGGAGATAGAAGATGTGCAACATGATCTTGTTGGGAGATGACAGAGCCTGCTGGCTGAGTTTTTTCTTTCCTTTTTACATTATATAGATTTTAGATGATTTTCTATACTGAGCCATTCATTTATCTAGGTATAAACATAAATGAGTTGTGATCCTATAAAGGACTGGTTGTTTTCCTTTTAAAGAATTCTTTAAGAAGTGAGGTGATGGAGAGAAACACACACGGATACCGACCTTCCATCCTCTGGTTCACTCTCCCAACTGCTGGGACTCGGCCAGGTGGAAGCCAGGGTCTGGGAACTTTAGCTGATCTCCCACATGGATAGCAGGAACCCACTGCCTTCCCAGGCGCATTTACAGGAAGGCTGGGTTGGAGCAGAGCAGCTTGGACTTGAACCAATGCTCTGAATGAGATGTGGCATTCCAAGCAACTGCTAAACTTGTACATCACAATGCCTGCCCCAAGACTGGTAGTTTGAACTACAAGTTGTAATGAATTTTAAAAATAATTTCACAGGACCATGGGTACCCAAAGCCTCTGACTCTGCAAAACGTCATGAGAAACGTTTTAAGCGAAACCAAACTTCTTTTCTGCAGTTCTGTTTCAAGACCACTGCCAAAGCTGATAATCACTTCCTATCAAACACCTGACATGTTTTCACAGTTCCTTCCTCTTGAATTTGGCTCTTGAATTTGTGTTAACATGCGGCTGAAGCCAGGATGTGAGGATAATAAATGAGTGAGCCAATCCATCCATTATACATCATTGACTCCTGAAGAGATATTCTGAAGTGTGTGGTGAAGTCAGGATCTGATGGAACTGTCTGGAAAGCTGTTTATACATGAGGTTATCTTCAAAGAGCTTGCAGACAGCATCATGAAGAAACTCATGTATGAATATCAAAATATTTTCTCCAAAATTTTTCTTTTAACTCCATTTTTTCACAAACTTTTTGATGCTTTCTCATAGGATGGTCTTCCACAAGAGTTGAATAAGCATTAAATGAGAACAACTTACATAAATCACTCAGCATTGTGTGAGGCATAATAGTTATTCAATAAATGACAGGTTTTCCTGCGGGTATTATGAAAATTCCCCAAAGAGAAAATACTACAAAGCAGGGTTGAAGTGGTCCAAGAAGTCTTTACAGAATATTTGAGGTAGTGTTTTGCTTTGTTTTTGTTTTTCTCAGTGGTGTTTAGACAAGAGTTAATGCATTCCAGAGAAGAAAGACAATTGAGTGTGGTACTGTGACCTGTGGTTAAGCTGAGGCCTACAGTGCCGGCATCCCACACTGGAATGCAATTCAAGTTTCTCTTCTTCGCTTTTGATCAGCTTTCTGCTAGTGCATTCTGCTAGACAGCAGAAGATGGCCAAGTGCTTGGGCCCCTGGATGGAGCTCCCGACTGTTGGCTTTGGCTTGTCCCAGTCCTGTCTGTTGCAGGCATTTGGAAAATGAGCCAGAGGATGGAAGATTCTTCTCTATCTCTTTATGTCTCCTTGTTATGTCATTGCACCTTTCAAGTAGGTGAAAACAAATATTTGGAAAAAAAAAAAGTGAGAGAGAGAGAGGAAAAGTGAGGACTTCCCCTATGATGTTGCACTGCTCTTACTTGCAGCCTGGCCTCTGGATGAGCCACTCCCATCACTGTGCTTCTGTTGAGCTCTTTATCATCCATAAAAGCATGCTGCAGTTTCTGGGCATACCTGTTGATATTTTTTAAGATTTATTTCCTTTTTGTCGCAAAGTCAGATGTACAGAGAGGAGGAGAGACAGAGAGGAATATCTTCCATCCAATGCTTCACTCCCCAAGTGACCACAACGGCTGATGCTGTGCCGATCCGAAGCCGGGAGACAAGAGCCTCTTCCACGTTTCCCATGCAGGTGCAGGGTCCCAAGGCTTTGGGTTGTCCTCGACTACTTTCCCAGGGCACAAGCAGGGAGCTGGATGGGAAGTGGAACAGCCAGGACATGAACTGGTACCCATATGTGATTCCAGTGTATGCAAGACGAGGATTTAGCCACTAGGTTATTGTTCTGGGCCCGCAACATGCAGAATTTTAATAAAGGGAAAATTCAGTCCTCCAGCTGTTGGAGGACTGAAACAGCCAAAAAGATAAATTGAGCTAATACAAGAGGCGACAACCAGCTCTAGAGCTGGAGAATGAAGGATGAGATTGGTTAATATAAATCTGGAGACTGAGGAAAATGGACTTGCAGAGCTGGACTTAGATTTCTACATACAGTCCAGTTGGTGCTTTTATCTCAGAAGGTCAGGGGAGGGACCCTTTGGGTCAGGGTTTTGGTTCCTGTGGGGAGGGCTCTCAGCTCTGTGCATGCTGATGTGGGAGGATTAAAACGTAGTGCTACTACCACTGTTGCCAAGGAAAGACCCCTCCTCCTCAGAACTAGAGTCTCTCATTAGTGTCCTCTCTTGGTAGAACCGTATAGAAAACCAGGTATACTGTAACATTACAAACCAGACCCTGCAACGGTGAACTTGGAAGTTGACAATTAGCACACATTGTTCTTAGGGCTGTACAGTTGGTTTTACTTACTGTAACGTCACTGAGTTCTTAGGAAGTGATGTCCTGATTATAACCTTACTTAACAGTTGGTCACATAAAAAAGCTAGAGTTGTTCAGAATCCCCACCTGTGTCATCCATGCATCGTCCCAGGATTAGGAGCAGGGATGCTTTGGGGAAAACCACTCTGCCAGATTACTGAGGGTCTTGAGAGCCACAATGAAAAGTTTAGTTTTAATTCCACCTTGCATTTTGAGAAATTCAGTGTAAACAGTATTCATAAATGGTCAGGAGCATGGGCTGATGAAGAGATGTAACTTAGGTGGGGGGAGGGTAACAGATGGAGGTTAAGCAGGAGACCGTGTCTGTGATCAGGATTTAGACTAACCTCGATTCAATATGAACGGAAAGTGAATTTGGATGCTAGGAATGATTTGAGTGAAAAATGAAGTACCTTGGGTTTTTTTTTAAATCCTATTGTTAGTGATTAAGGGTAGTTTGTTTTACTTTGGTCTAGTTTATTGAAACTCACCAGAAAATTGAAAAATTGAGTTGTCAAACATTTTACCTTTCAAGTTGAAGGTTAATGACCTAGCCAGTGTTTTTCCTTTGATGACATTTCCGTAGAGGAGGTAAATGCTTTGGTCTAATGAAAGAGAAATAACTTTAGGTTCGTGAAGTTTTAGGTTTAAGTCCCTCTCTGTCACATATGAGTTGTATAACTTTTGCAAGAAACTTAATCTTTCAGCCTTGGTTTCCTCACCTATAAAATGAAGAGAATAAAGGCAGCTGTCTGTGCATGAAATACTGGTTAGAGAGTCTAGCAGGTAGTCCCCAGATGTTAGCTGTTCTTCCATGAAAGCAATAATCATAATAAAGTGAATGGGATTGGTTAGCGGCCTGCTATGCTTCTTAGAATGTTTCTAGATGATTTAGAACCATAGAATTTTTTTGGAAAGATTTATTTGAAAGAATTGGTTATAGGGAGAGATGAGAGAGAGGCACAGAGAAGGAAAGAAATCTTCCACCTGCTGGTTCACTCTGCAAATGGTGTAACTGCCAGGGCTGGGCCAGGTTGAATCCTCTAGCTTGGAGCTCTGTCTGGTTCCCCCACATGGGTGGCAAGAGCCAAAGACCCTGGGGTATCTTCCCCTGCTTAGCCTAGGTGCATTAGCAGGTTATCGGATTGAAAAGGGAACAAATGGGAGTTGACCTAGAGTCATAGGAGGCAGTTTAGTTCATAGTACCACCACATCAGCCATTGGAAATACAGAATGTTGAAGCAGAAAGTGTCTTTAGAGAGGACCCAACATGTCTGACTGTTTGGGGCTACTGAGGCAGAGCCAGGAGTAAACCCAGGTTTTCTGGTTTCAATTTGGGGCTTTTTTTTTAAACCAGCAAAGGCCCCTTGAATAATAAAGGCCCACCATGGTTGTAGTTGAGGGTTTAGAGTTATTTTTTGGCATCAATAATAAACACTATATGCCAATCCCTTCCAGATATAAGTAGAAAAAAATGAAAACTCCTTTACTTCAGCCTAGAAAATAATTAACTTGCTATGATAATCATGATTCCCTTATCTGATTATTAAAATTGTCACTAGTACCTATGAAAGTATTGAAGGGGATAAAAGAATGAATTAAATATTTATTGAAGTCATTTGGGAGAGAAATGTATTTCAAGTGATAGAAATACTTGAAATACATCTTTTCGTGAGCTCAGCACGATGGCTCAATGGTTAATTGCTCACCTTGCAGGTGCCAGGATCCCATGTGGACAATGGTTCATATCCTGGCTGCTCTATTTCTCATCCAGCTGCCTGCTTGTAATCTGCGAAAGCAGTAAGAGGATGGCCCAAAAACCCTATACCCATGTGGGAGACCCAGAAGAAGTCCTGGTTCCTAGCTCAGTGAATGTCTTAATTATTTTTTTATAATGAATAAAAACCTTACAAAACTTACTCTTTCTTTTCTTTTCAGCTTATTGCAAAGAACCAGTATCCAATTTTCCAATAAATTCTACCATACTAGCACTCATTCTGCTGGGACAAATACTGAGTAGGATAATAATCTACTGTAGAGTTTTACACTGACATTTTATTTTCCCTAAGAAGAAACATGGAAAAAATAATCACGAGGCACTATTTTACATATGCTAAACAAGAATGAAGTTTATTAATGAATACCCAGCATGGCCATTTCTCAAAGAACGATGAAATAGCCTAAAAGATAGAAAGGATGTCTTCAGCTGAACCCGAAAGAGCAAAGAATTCAGAAGTTGAGTAAATTCATGCGAACATGGCCCCAGGAATTGCAACATCTTTCTCCACGGCATGGGCTGCAGTGAGTACTGAAGGTCTCCAGCAATACACAGGACATCTGGGCATCCAGTTCACTGACCCTGTGCAAAGTCCGAGCTGGTTAACAGCAGGGCTCGCAGGGACTCTCACAGCCGGGCTGGACGTAGGTGGTGAGGTTGATCCCACTCAGTCCGGGTGTCGGGTGGCAAGTGTTCAGCAGAAAGCAAGTTGGCACGTAGATTTCAGGCTCACAGCAGGGTGGAGGGCAGGGGTCACAGCAGATGGGCTGCAGGAGGCTGATCTCATGTGGGCAGGTGCTGGGCAGGCAGACTCCACAGCGGCAGCACTTGTCGTGGGAGCAGATGGTGGTGGCAGGGCCGGTGGGGACACTGCAACAGCGGGCAACACAGCAAGCCATGGTGTGGGGAGTGTGGTTTTGTTGGGTTGAAAGGAGAGATGTGTTGGTGTCTCTATGCCTCTCTCTCTCCTGATGTGGCTCTTATATACCCAGCTGCCTGGGTGTCAGCCAATTATCAAGAGTTTTTTCCCCCTGATGTTTCAGTTTATAGCTATCTCCATAAAAACTATTTAATTACTTAAGTGTTTATTACCTCGGATACACTCCTCACCTCATAAAAGGGATTTAGGTTGTTTTGTTGGCAAATTAGGACTCTTGACACTGTCCAGGTGTCATTGCCCAGGGAGCTTCATGTCGACCTTCAAAGGCACCACGTCATTATCTTCTCATCGTTACACGTCATTAATGACGGCTTGGCATGCCAGGTATCTGCAAATCTTTCCTGTGCTTTTCTGTCTACTTTCCGGATGAAGAGGTAGTAAGCTTTGTGTATGCTCTTCCACGGGCAACCCAGATTCAAAGTGCTAACATAGGCCCTCTGTCTGAAAAAGTGATACAGTGTATAGACTTATTCTTTGTAGCTCCAAGAGGATGAATTAAGACAAGTGGCTATAATCTGTAAGAACTAGACTCTGAACGATAATGTGGCAGGGACAAGACCTGCATGGGTGACAGTGCCTGATGCCCCCTTGAAACCCCATCCAACCATGTTATGAGTTAGAATTGTTTATGACCAACAGATAGTGCTGTTAGGTTTTTTAGAGATCAAAAGGTACCAAATTTCCCGAGGAGAGTTCTGTGAACAGCTGTTCCAAAGGATGTGACCATTCTCTGATAACTAAGCTTGGAAAGCATTGAGGTCTTCACTGGCCCATAATGTACCAGCAAGCTCTGTGATTTTTAATAAAGAGGCAGAGTATTTTTCTTTTTCCTCCAAGTTCACTTGACCAGAGACTTTTTTTTTGGTTAGTTTAAGTTTTCACAGAATAACTTCATCACTCAATGTTCTTCAAAGTACAAGATTTTATAAAAACGTACAGGTTTTGTTCTCTGCAAGAGAAATGATATTTCCAAATTATAGCTAAACAATTAAAACTCCAGTAGTATGTTTAAAAAATTTAGTATGATGTTTTAGAATTTTTTTAGAGTAAAATAAGTACTAAACTGATAAACCTCTAGAACTAGTTTTCTTTGAAATATACGGCATATATATATATATATATGTTTTACCCATCATTAGATAAAATGGCTCTCAAGTTCTGAAGTGGAAAAATTTCGCAGCATAGAGGAGTCAGAGGCCGAAAGAGATGCAGATCAACAGGGTGATGGAGCAGATAAAAAATGCTTACTGTGACCCTGCTTTCATTTGGCCATCCTCTTACTAGAATGACCTTGTGGTTTTGGATCCACACACTGGAATTTACCTATCTCTTAGCAAACACTCATCGGTGGTACATCTGTTGCAAGTCAGACATCATGCAGAAAGACGCAGATAGCCTTGGAGGAGGTCATGGGGAAGGAGGGACATGGAGAGCTACATAACAAAAACAAAACATGTAGAATTAAACGATTACTGTATAGTAACATAAAAATAAAATAGGACAACATACAGGTATGTAACAATAACAAATGCATACAGAATTTTCCAGACAACTTCTTGGTCCTAAGTGTTCTACAAGTATTATGTCATTTAATTCTTACAACAACTCTGAAGTTGGTGTGAAAGTTATCCTCCATTTTATAGATGAGGGAAACTGTGAGACAGAGGGTTAAATCCATTGCGCAAGTTCAATGGCTAGTAAAGGATGGAAGTGGGATCTGAACCAAGGCCATCTGCTTCCATGTCTGTGTTCTTGGTCATGTATGCTAATTTACAATCTCAGCAGTACTATTATGCTTTCCATTAAAAAAAAAAAAAATATATATATATATATATAATTTGGCTTATTCCAACAAACTTTGAGAGCAGCTTGTATTTCCATGGTGCTGTCCTGGGAGGTTTAGAGCACTTAACAATCAGCAAGACACAGGTGTGCCCTGAAGTGTCTTAGAATTTCCTGAGATTCATGTGGTGCCCAGCTCACGAACACAAGGTCAAGGAGTAGGAAGGTCTAGCAGGTGTGGGGAAGAGCAGCATCAAGTTCACAGAAAAGCGAGTGAGCGAGCTGCTGCTAGGAAGCTGTAACAAGGCATGGTGTCTAGAACACAATCACAGGAGATAACACGAGGTGTAGAGGCTCGGTTCCCCCAATGAGGATTCATCATGTCTTCTTCAGTCTTTCACATTCCTCCTGACTTCACTTACTGTGAAAAATTTCAGGTACCTTCACTTCATCATTGCACAATATTATAAACCCACTAGAATGTTTCTTACACCAAGTGTACAAATCTTGTATTTTGAGCAAGTGAATATCTTACAGGCAACATAATTGTCCAACTAAAATCCTCCGTTTAAAATTTAATAATTCAAAAATCTTGAAATGTTGTCTTTTAATGAACAACTCATTAAAATGAATTCATTTTATTTGGGGGTCATATACCATATCAACCCTGTCTCATTTGTAATACAGGAACAAAGAAGAAGGTAGTAATAAATAGATCTAACAGACACTAATACTTAAGGTCTGGATTAGTCTCTCTTATCCTCACAGAAACAATTTCTTTTGGCTCTTAAATCACCAGTCTTACCCAAACCTTTCTTTCTTTAGTCCATTTGATGATTCAACATTTCCTCCTTCAAGCTTTTTTTTTTATTGCAAAGTCAGATGTACAGAGAGGAGGAGAGACAGAGAGGAAGATCTTCCATCCCATGATTCACTTCCCAAGTGACTGGAACAGCCGGAGCTGCGCTGATCCAAAACCAGGATCCTGGAGCTTCTTCCGGTTCTCCCACGCGGGTGCAGGGTCCCAAGGCTTTGGGTTGTCCTCGACTGCTTTCCCAGGCCACAAGCAGGGAGCTGGATGGGAAGCCGGGCTGCTAGGATTTGAACTGGTGCCCATACAGGATTCTGGCATATGCAAGGAGAGGACTTTAGCCTCTAGGCCATTGTACTGGGTCCTCCTTCAAGCTTTTAAAAATCCTTTATCTCCAGGGCTTTAAAAACTACTTTTACTTATGAGTATGTAATGGATAAATCATAGTGGAGAAGCAGTTTCTTAAGTCAAAGTTATGGTTTTGGGGGGGATATATCAGTAATTAGCAAAGGGTGTCCCTGGGATATATCACTTTCCATAAAAGATTTTTGAAAGAAATACTGGATTTTTTCTTTCTTTTTCTAACAGAGGCATTTTGCGTTGAGCAGTTTTCCTGACTTCTCAATCAGGTGCTATTAGGTCTAAAATGTTGTTATCTTGCCATGCTCTTCAAAGCTCAGAGATTAATATTTTCCCCATAATCAACTATGATGATTAATCAAAGACAGCGTGTGAGGTCTGAGCAAATGGTTGACTCAATAATCTGGATTTTTTTTTTAATGATAGTGAGTTAGGATCAGGAGAGACAAACCACATCTATTATTCCGTGAAGAATTTTTAACTAAGTTGTTAGCAAGACAGCTGAAAGATGGCTCAAAGATAATGCTAACACAGAACCTGCAGAAAACCCTTGTCTTAAGAGGAATATGTGAAGTCCTGAATTAAATGGAAAGGGGAAGAAATTAAAAGCGCAGAAGCTGTGAACAACTATTCTGGAGAACTGACACGCTCTGGGGGAGTTTTTGGGTGGCTGGCGCTCCTGTCTGAGGTGACACCTGAAGCTGCTTCTGTCAGGGCTGGGCTAACCACAAACTGAATTCAGGAGCTGCCATGATAAGGATCTGCACTTGCCCGGGAGAAGACATTCTGGGGTGATGGTCCCGTGACCCACTTGTAAACAAGGAATCCCAGGAAGCAAAAGGAGGCAGAGGCAGTCCCTTTCGCTTAGTCCAGCCTGGCAGTTTTCCTCTTGCTCCCCCTGGCGGCCAAACTGTCACAGCTGTGGGCAGCCATAGCAGTGTGGTGTCCTGGGCACCATGCCCACCACCCACCACTGAGCACGGAGGAGGGCGAGAGGCTGAGAAAGTCACCTCACACTTGAGTGATTTCTTCTGAAGCCCAAGCTTCCAAAATAGCCATCGTCAGGTCTAATGAGTCTCTCTATACTATTCCTCTAGTTCCTTAAATCATCTGTGAGTTTGGGAATCACAGGTAAATTCCTATTTCTTTTTACCTGTGGACTGTGTTACCATAGACAATCTATTTAAGCTCTTTTAGCCTGGACTTTCTCAGTATAAAATCAAGGTCAAATCTGTTTCATAGGATTGATGTAAGTATTGAACGGATTTAAATTTATGTGAAGTTTACTTAGTCTATGTACAGCATATGTTACTTTTAAAAAGAAGAAAACAAGCAAGTTAAGAAGAAAATATGCGTAGTTTCTGCCACTCTTGTTCCTGTAATGGGTCATAAGGCATTAGGTTAGACGCATCATTCACTTTTCTATTCCATGCGTCCTCCACCCTCATCCAGTACCTCACTGCTTATGCAGTGATTTAAATATTCCTTTGCTTAGTACCATGAAAATGCACCCTTCTACATATTTCCAGGTTTTTGTTAATATATAACAACACAACCACAGCATATTTTTAAAAACAGGACTTTGTTAAGAAGTTTTCTGTGTATGCCAGTTATATATCACCCGAAATTCACATATTGAAAGTTTACCTGTCAATGTAAGTGAATTGGGAGGTGGGATCTAATAAGAGGTTAGCACAACAAATGCATACATGACTCGTATCTGCCATTACAGCGTCTTACAGAGAAGTGCCATGCCCTAAAAAACACTCTCTACTCTGCTTGGCAGACGCGGGAGCTACCTTTTCGTTTACTGCCATGGTTTTGCTTGTTCCACATGTCATAGTTTTAGAATGCATTATAGTTTAATTACTCATTCATCTACGGAAGGAAATTTTGATCTCTTCCAAGTTTTGGAAATTACAAATAGAGCTGCTCTAAACATCTACATGCAGCTTCTTATGCGGGGTGTGTTTTTGGCTCTTTCTGGTGGATGCTGTGGAGCAGGC